CCAAATAGCTAATATCAGCACAAATGGACTGAGTTTTGGCAATTCCGACTGAATCACATGCGTAATATTACCCACAACAATGATCTTTGGTACCAGATACATATTAATAAGATCGGTTCAGATTTGTATATACCTCCCATATACACCATTATCCGATTTTAGGTTTTTTGTGCACCAAATTGGCAATATCAGTCCAAATGCCCTAAATTTTTGGCATATCCGACCGAATTCAGTCTATAAGCAAGTAGAGCAAATTCTGAAATACTTCTGTTAAATTTTATCAAGATCGGTTCAGATATAGCTATAGCTCCCATATATATCTTTATTCAATATCAGGCTTGTTGAGCATCAAATGGCTAATATCAACCCAAATGAACTGAATCTTGGCAATTCCGACTGAATTCATTGTAGAAACAAGTATTTCAAATTTGGAGAAAATCGGTTCAGATATAGCTATAACTCTCATATACATGTTTTATCCGATTTGGTGCTAAAATTCCTCATATGCGTAATATGCACTCCACAACAATGATCTTTGGTACCAGATATCAGATACAGCTCAGAAAGAAGTGCCCAAAATATTGTCAAGATCCGTTCAGATTTGGATATAGCTCCCATATATGCCATTATCCGATTTTAGGTTCTTTGTGCACCAAATTGTTAATAACAGTCCAAATGAAGTGAATTGTGGCACTTCCGACCGAATTCATCCTGGAAGTAAGCACATCAAATTTTGTGAAAATCGGTTCAGATTTAGCTATAGCTCCCATATTTATGTTTCATCCGATTTGGTGCAAAAGTCCCTAACGTGCGAAATATGCACTCCACAACTATGATATTTGAAATCAAACATTTGATACAGGTCGAAAATACCTCTGCCAAATTTTGTGGAGATCGGTTAAGTTCTTTATATACCTTCGATATACATCTTCATCCTTAAAAATTATTAAATTTTGTGCTGTGCAAAGACTGTTAACCATCCCATGCCCAACTTTGCATAATATCTTCATAAGAACCTAGTACAATTTCAGATTATTTCCCTTTCCTATTTTAACAACCCTCGTTAAATGGTCATTACTTATTGCCGCATTACGTTAACAATTTAGGAAAAATACCCATCTTTCATTTGAGCCCGTTAAATTGGAATTTCTCGAAAAGTAAGTTTAACGACAAAATTCTACGGCAAAACCCCTCACGATGATGATCATCATCAAAATCTACACAACAATTGCCGTCAATTTCCTACATTTCTCTCAAACAAAAACACGCTCTCATCTCAGTATTTATTTCTACATGAAGGCCTTCAATTAGACCAACTGTAAAAACCATAGACCGTCGGTCGGGGTTCGTGGTACTGCAAAAATTCCCCAAAATAAGAATGGGAAAATATTTCAATAGACCAGCAACAACAATTACACACTGCCTGCATACAACCATGTGTACGTCGTGCACACACACATATTTACATGCACGTGTATAAATGTATGTGCCTGTATGTAAGCCACATTGAGAGTGAGAGTGGAAAACAAAAAGACTGATAGCCAACACGACCAGCCAGCCTTATTGGGCGAAAAGAAGAATGAGAGCCGTTTTGCAGTGTTGTGTGTTCCGAACTAGGTTCACAACCGTTAAATTGTTTTTGCTGTCTTTTGTCGTTCTTGCTTTCTGCCGAGAAAATGACGAAAACACAACATTGATATCGTCAAAAAAAAAAAAAAAAAAACGCAGCAATAATAATTGTAGCAGGCAAAATAATAACAAAGATGGGAAAGTAATTTTTTTCTGCAGTGTCTAGGCGTTCATGTTGGGGGGCCTTAAAGGCTTTACACATCATTCATGTTTGGGACAATATTCTCAGTGGGTATTAGGAAATTTGTTTTGGTTAGATTTTACTTTTTTTAATATTTTTAAAGAATAGACAGAGTTTAAATGGAAAAATACGTAGTTGTTATTCATAATTTTTTCATTTGCTTACATAAGAGCTGGAAGCCATCCTTTTTGTATAGGTTTATCGATTTTTACCCACCAGTTGATTGAGGGAGTCTGCATATGTTTAACACCCTCTCGAACGAAAAATAATCAAACTAATCCTGTTTTGCAGATCCGGACCTCCAGATGAAATTTTAAGAGATTTTCGGGGTTTTGAACAATTTTAACCTAATCTCTAACCATTATCCTGTAATTTGGCTTTTCTTTTTTAACCGAAGTGGACATAATATAAATAAAATTAGAGAGGGACCTGATCGAGGTTATTCTATATGTTCTTGCATATGGGACTTTTATATACTTTGGACACATTACGATTATGCAATATAATGGCAGTTACTCAGCTGACCTTCAAAACACATATAAGTGGAATTTTAGGAGTATATGTTCTGTGTATTATTACTAGGTAGATTCTAAGTCAACCCGATATTAAAGTAACCTCTTAAGTAGAACATTCATTCAACGAGAACCCAAAGTCCCATATACAAGGAATTCGGTGTAAAATTGGAGCTGAAGCCCACGAATTCCGAATGTCTGAAAGTACCTTCAAATGGGGGTACAGAAAATAATGGAAATACATTAAACATTTACTGAAGGAAAGGTTTACATCCTTATAGAACCTGAAAGGTCGAATTGCAGCTAATATGGTAAGAAAGTATGTTAAATCCTTTAAAATCCTTTAAAAGGTTCCGTTATATAGGGGCTAAGAGCCCTTATTTATACCGATCATGTTTTTTATATATATTGTCAAATATCTTTGCTTAATGGATGAGAAGAAGAAAACAATGAGGAATACTTACAGCCTATGACAGAAAATTGTCCGTGCAAGTCCACGTTTTGTTATAGCCTCTATATTAACGGTATCTCCCGATATTCGGTATTTTGATGATTTTACCGACAATATTCATCGAAATTGTTTCAAATTCGGTATTTGAAGTTCGAAATGGATACTACAGCCTAAGACAGAAAATTGTCTGTGCAGGTCCACGTCTTCGTATAGCCCCCCATATAACGGTACACAGGAATTCTTTCAAATTTGGTATTTGATGTTCGTAATGGATGCTATAGCCTATGACTGGAGATTGTTTGTGTAGGTCCACGTCTTCGTATAGCCCCCCTTATAACGATACCTCCCGAACTTCGGTATTTTAATGATTTTAGCGACATTATTCACGGGAATTCTTTCAAATTTCGTATTTGATGTTCGTAATGGGTATACAGCCTATGACAGGAGATTGTGTGTGCAGGTCCACGTCTTCGTATAGCCCCCCACATAACGATACCTCCTGACATTCGGTATTGTGATGATTTTAGCGACATTATTCATCAGAATTGTTTCAAATTTGGTATTTGAAGTTCGTCATCGATACTTCAGCCTAAGACAGAAAATTGTCTGCGATGGTCCAAGCCTTCGTAGTCCTCCCATATAACGGTACCTCTCGATATTCGGTATGTTGATGAATTTAGCGATATTATTTACTGAAATTGTATTTAAAGTTCGTACTGGATACTACAGCCTATGAAAGAAATATGAGGTATAGCCCCTATATAACGGTACCTCCCTATACTCGGTATTTTGATGATTATTACTTACGGATTTTTTTTGTCAAGTTTCGCATTTGATTTTTTTAATGGCTGTTGACAAAAGTTGCCTATGCAGGTCCGCGTCGTCGTATAGACCCTAATATAATGGCTACATTCAGTATTTTAACGATTTTAACAGAATTTTCGAAGAATTTTATTTGTTTTTGCGAATTGCCAAATTCGTTCCAAATGGTGGATGGTATTCAAAGTTCTACCCGGCCGGACTTACAGCTTTTTTTACTTGTTATAAATGCACATGTCTCGATTCCGTCATATTTTAGGTGTTCTGTATGTCCTGGTTGCATTTTTCTACCTAAAAGTGTTTTTTTATATTTGAAAATTCCAATTGAAAAACAAACCTCTTCTCGGAGTGCTACTTCAGATTCTGGATTAAGTACTAAGCAAAGGTAACCCAACATTCTATAAATTTTGCCATCAATCGATATGGCTACAATTCGAGTTTTCCTCATGGTGGAGGGTATAAAAAAACCTACCCGTTCCAAATTGAGGCTGTTTTTAATTGAGTTTGAATAAATTATTTGCTCTTTAACTAAAACTTCTAAAGAATGTGAATAAGTTCTTGATTTATTTACTTGAGGTCTTAAAAGACCTACATTCTGTAGCATGATATTGTGTAAAATTGTTGCATGTCTCCCAGGTGTAAAATTATTAATTAAATATTTTTCGCTTGGACCCAGTTAAATGGATCTCCAACAAATAATTGAAACTATACCAAGCTACAAAATCACTAAAACCTCCAAATCATCATTAAAGCCTCCTCTTTAAATTCATCCCATCATAAAAAGGCCCACCCAAAGGCTTCTCTTCTCCTCTCCGCCATCATTGGCCTTTGTTTTGCTTCCAGAGTTCAATTTACGGCGATTTTAAGCGTGATTTTTTGTTGTCGTCGCGTTTTGTTTTTGTTCTTTGTGCTCTCGCCACCACTCAGAGTTCGAGGAGATGATTTGTGTTGTGCGACAGAGTGTGGCCTGGCTGTGAGTCCGTGTGTGTGTGTGTGCGAGCGAGAGTACGTGTGCGTCTGTGTGAATGGCAAAGTCCCTGTCCCTGTGTGTCGTCCGATGCCCGAGTATTTGTTAAATGTTTGAAGAACAAGGCGAAGAGTACAACCGACCGCCCGACTGATTCTATTTAGACAAAGTTAATGTAAATCTATACGACCGAGTTCGAGTGGCAGCAGCAGGCAGAGGTTTTGCGTTCTGAGTTTTTGCCGAGCTGAATTCCTCCGTTGTTGTGGCTGTGACGACAGTGTGTGTGTGTTTGTTGTTGTTGTTGCCCCTGTCGTTTTGTTGCAGTTGTGTGTATGACATGGACTGAACTGAACTGATCGTCGCCGTCCGTCATCATCGCATTATGGCATAAATTTTGTGTCTAAGACGAATTTTATAGTTATAGGCTACTCTTCTGCCGCTGTTGCTTCTGCCGGCGAATGGCGTTCCCTTTGTGGCCGTCGTTGGTGTTGTCGTTGTTGTTGTTGCTCTTTCTCTCCTCCCAGGCCGTAGTAGTTGTATTGCCGTGGTTTTTTTGATTTGCTGTAAAAACAAATTTGAAAAATGCGGGCTCTGGCTGGGGTGGTTGGTCTTTGGCAGTGATGGCTTTTAGTTGGGTTTTAAACTTGGTCGTGAGAGGGTAGTAGATCACAGCAAGCAGGCGAGTGAAGACAGCCAAAAAGCAAACGGGGCTAGCCAAGTGATAATTGTGAAAAATCAAAACACAAAGAATAAATTCCACAAAAAGAACGTTTTGAAAACAAAGTGAATTGAAATTAAAATACAAACTTGAAATTAAACCAAATCAGTCAGTCCAAAGATCAATGAACGGATAATTTAAAAAAACACAATAAACAATTTTAATGTTAACAATAAATTGAAAAACCAAAAAAAAAAAAAAATATTGAACAATTTTCCTGAGATTTTGTTTTGAAACATTTTATTGATGAGCCATAAAAAGTTATTGAAATCTCTGAACTCATCACCCACCTCAACGACCAGTGATCTGAACAACGACATTAGCCATCATCAGCGATCCTCACAAGAGATGAGTGCTAGCGCCGCCGCCTCAGCCGCCGCTATAGCATTGGCTTTGGATTTGAAGCCCAAGCACCAGCCGCCATCGATGATGGAACAGCATCCACAGCAGCAGCAGCAGCAACAACAGCATCAACAGAAAATCAAAAAATGTGCGTTGACCTACAAACTAAATCGTCCCCTAACTCGTAGTCTTCTCAATAGGAAGAAGAAACTGGCCAAGGAGCTTGCCAAAGCTCCTGCCGCCAGTTACTTCTCCTTGGCTTGCGCAGAAGAAACCACCACCTCCACCACTAGATGTAGTAAATGTTGTAGTCTTAAGTCAAGTAAAGACAATTGTTGTTGTTTGAGCACAACGACAACAACAAAGACAGCCAACATCTTGTCATCATCTGCTAGTTGTAGTAGTCCGTCATCTTCACCTACCTCTGTATTAACCAAAGAACAATTTTTATTTACCCTCGATTTACTTGCAGTGGTTCGACGCAATGCCTCCGACAAACTGAAACTGATACAGATGGTCCACGACAACCCGATTTTGTGGGACTCACGTCTGCCCAATTTCAAGGGAGCCGAAGAGGAAAAGAATCGGGCATGGGAAATGATTGGAAAGGAGTTCAATGCGCCCGGCAGGCGTGTGGCGCGAGCTTTTAAATCTCTGCGAGAATCCTATCGACGCGAATTGGCCCATGTCAAGCTGATGGGTAATAATTTCAAGCCCAAATGGAGTCTGTACGAGGCAATGGATTTTTTGCGCGACGTCATACGCGAGAGAAAGTGAGTAGAAGAGAACTATTTTTTATTAATTTAAAGATAAGGAACTCAAATATTTAAAAATATGTTGGGGAGAGATTTTTCACCAGTATTGAGTGTTGTTGTCAGTGGAGACTTATTTTTTTGACCTAAACAAACTCGTTTGTTGTAATTAAAACCGTTTTGAAAGGATTTTGTCGTCTCCCATTAAAATTTCGAAAGTGGAGAATTGTGTAGAGTTTCGAAAGTCATGAGAATCGTCCGGTTTCTGTGATATTTTATGCATTTCTTACGTAGCCGAATAGAAATCAGGCTAAAAAATTAGGGAATTTCTTAAATTTTTGAAAAGTTTAAATATTTTTGGAGACAATTGGTCCAAAAATGGAAAGTTTTGAAATTTTCTTTATTTTTATTTATTTTTTTTCTTTTTGAAAAATTGAGTTATATTTATTCAAATTAAAAAAAAAAAACAATAATTCGGGAAAATTACTTTTTTAATCGAACAATTTTTCTTCAGTTTTGAGTGTTATTCATAGTGGAGACTTATTTTTTATGACGTAACATACTTGTTTGATGTCACTATAATAGTTTTGTGATAATTCTAGTCGTCTTCAATGAATATATAGAAAGTGGAGACTTGTGGAGACTTTCTAAAATGCTAGAAATCGTCTGATTTTTGGAATATTTTATTAATTTAATATGTAGCGAATTTAAAAACAACCCGAAAAACTTGGTTTTATCTGGTATCTCGGCCATTTTAGTTAATTTTGTTTAAAAAAAGCTAAAATTTCAAAGTAATTTTTCAATACTTTTTGGAAATTATTAATTAATTTATTTTTTAGGCTAAATTATTTTGTGAAGAGACAGGCTCTTAATATAATTTAGTCAGTTTTTTTTTGGCTGTTTTTGAGTGTTTATAGTTCTTTTTCCTTTAAATTTCAAGAGTGGAGACTTATTTTTATGACATGATATGGTTGTGTAATGTAATCAAAACTTATTTTTTAGGGATTCTAGTCGATTCCCATTAACATTTTACGAGTGGAGACTTGTGGAGAGTTTCCAAAATGCTGCAAAACGTCTGATTTTTGTGATATTTGGCGAATTTCTTATTTAGCGATCTAATCCTAGCTATTTTAGAGTTTTTTGGAATATTTTTCAAAAAAGGAGTGCTGAGAAAATGTTTTCTATTTTTTTCTAAATCAGCTTAACTTTTTTCCAAATAGAAAAAAAAATTGGGGAAAGTATTTTAATTTTAAAATGTTCTTTTTTTTCAAAAAAATGTGGAGACTTGTGAAAAGGTTTTAAAAATAATAATTTTTTGTAACATATTCACATAAAATATAACTGTATTATGCTATTAAATGTATTTTTAGACTGCCATCAAACAGTGCCAATTTTTTGTCTTCAAATATATCAAGAAATTGCCGTTAATTTTTAAGACTTAAAAAATAGGTCCAAAACATTAAAGAAATTAAATTTACGTTTAGGTATTAGTGAATTTGTGCATTTTGAGTAAAAAATAAAAAAGTGGAGACTTTTGGAGAGATTTCAAAATTTTGAAAATTACAATTTTTTGTAACGTATTCGTGTTTGAAACACAAAATATTACTTTACTATGCCATTAAATCAATTTTACCATCAAATAGTTCAGATTTTCATATGTCTTCAAATCTTTTAAGAAATCTCCGCTAGAATTTTGAACTGTAATTGTCTGTGGAAACTTTCAAAATAAGTCCAAAAAAATAAAAAAAATATCGTTGTGTATTGTTATTGGCAAAATTGTGTATTTTGAGTGAATAATTGAAACTGGACACTTTTGGAGAGATTTAAAAATTTTAAAAATATGAATTTTTTGTGAAATATTCGCTATGGAAATATATAAAATTAATACTCTATACTACTAAATCAACTTTTGCCATCAAAAAGTTCCAAATTTATGTGTGACTTTAAATCTAGAAAGAAATCTTCGTTATTTGTAAATTTTGAGAATTATTTCTTAGTGGAGACTCTAGAAATAAGTTTAAAAAATTAGCAAAATGCTAATTGTGTTACGATATAGGAAAATCTATACATTTTGAGTGACAAATGAAAAGTGGAGACTTTTGGAGAGATTTCAAAATGTTCATAATATGAATTTTTGGTGACATATTCGTGGTTGAAACACCAAATATTATAATACTATGCTATAAAAACATATTTTGATTGGTTACATTCAGCTTAATAACACTAATTAGTTGAAGGTTTATCATGACTGAACACCTTCCCAAAAAATTACATACCTTTGTGATTAACCCTTCCAAAAAGCTTTTGCCGACTTTCCACAATAGAAAAAAATCCATGCCTCTTTGAACACATTCCTCTAAAAAATATGTATCTATTTAATCCCCAATTGCCAACTAATTATTAGATTTATCCCCCACCCCATCAAAAATAACTGAGCCTGCCAGAGTACTTAACAAATACCAAGAATGTGAAGCAAAAAAAAAAAAAAAGTCGGCACGGAGCATCATCCCAATTGACAAAATGGTTTACGCCCAGTTATGACGTGAATTTTTGTTGTATTGTGTTGATGAGTGAGTTCTCAATAATGGCGGCCGGCTGTTCGTTCGCATGATGGCACTCTGCTAACAACGACCGACAACGGGGCCATAACGACGTTGATAATAATAATCTTCTTAAAAAAGACGAGTACAAAACACACTACCACCTCCTCCCACTCAGTGCTCCTCCTCAGAAGCTTCTCTTCCACTACAACACATGGTCAGATGTATGACTGATGGTACCAAGCCATGTCATCACAGCTCGATTTTTTGTCGTGTTGTGTGGAGGCTGATCATTATTGCGATCGCATTAAATAATAAAAAAACACGCGTGTGTGTGTGTTTTCACTTTCGAGGCCGAATTCACTCGACCAACTGATGATTATTATGACGACGATGTTGTTGAATCCAATCATCCATTTAAATCAAGCCAAACTATTTAAACGCGTCCATAAGGCCCTTACAATAAGCAAAGTAAGGCGTACAAACCAAGAACGCAAAACTGAAAATTAAACACACGCACACACACACACAACAATTTCATCCCCCATTTCTTGTGTCGTTTTGACAAACGGTTGTTGCTATTTTTCAATTTGGGATTGTAATTGAACCATTGTACAGAACACGACGTACTACGGCAACAGAAGCAACAACAACAATGATCACACTGAGCCCAGTCGGATCGTCGCACAATTGCTCCAAATGCGAGAAAACAAAAAATCGTAAGACATGATGGCAATTGTTGGTTTGGCTCCGTTCAAGTGTGGAAACATTTATTGCCACATACTTTCGATTTTGGGGTCGCTGGCTGGCTGTTTGGCTTGCCTGGTCTTTGTCTTTATTGAGGAAAACATGGCTTCTAAATTGCTAAAAACGTCGTTTTTTTTTCTTGGACAATTTTAAATGAATTTCTGGTGGAAAGATCGACATACATATGTGTGCCGGTATAAGTCATAATTTCCAACGGTTTGTTCGTGAGAGCACAGTGGGTAAAAATGAGTTCATCGGTGTTTGAGACAAATCTGGAGCACAAATGTAAAACAATTCCATTTATATTTCTCTTCAAATGCTTGATTTGAGGTATTTTGCCTCAGTGGGGACATTTTAAATGTTGTTGAATTTTATAATTCCATTGGTAGCTAGTAGTTTTGGGATCTTTTAACACATTTCCAGCTTAAAACAAAAAGTCTCCAATTTTGGAGAGATTTCAAAATTCATGAAACAATATGTATTTTTGTCACTTACTACCTAAAATTGCTTATTTAACAATATTTGTTGAAAATTTCTATTCAATTGATTGATTTTCAGAGATTTTTGTTGGTGGAGACTTATTAGAAATTGTAAAATTTTTAAAGTTTATCCATCTTTGACAGTATATGGGTAGTTGGATCCATTTTCAAAAGTAATCGCAAATTTTTCATCAAATGCTTGATTTTAAACATTTTTTTGGTAGTGGAGACTTATTAATTTAATTTCAATATATTTTGGCATTTTTATGTGATTTAAAGCATATACAAACATTTCCAGTTAAAAGAAAAAGATCTCCAATTTTGGAGAATTTTTCAAATTTAATAAATTGAGTGTATTTTTAATTTTTCTAGATCATGTCGCTTCTTTAGGGCCCTAGAAGTAAATATTTGCAATATTTTTTTTTTATAAATTTTGGTTTCCAGTGTCAAACTTAATAAAATAATGGATTTTTAGTAGTTTTAATGCATTTAGAATAATTTAGAGCAGGAAACAAAAAAGTCTCCATTTTTGAAGAGTTTTCAAAATTACAAAAATAGGGTGAATTCTTCCATTCTTCTAACTCATATTGCTTTTTTAGGCACACAAAACTGAACATTCACTGATAAGTTGATAAAATCACTCAAAATTTCAAAAATTTGTAAGTGGAGACTTATAATTTTTTGTCTTAAAATATAAATTAATGCCTCCTAAAGGGATCTATGTACGTTTTGTATAGTTTATAGGCAATTCGAACAAGTGGAGACTTCTGTAGAATTCTCAAAAATATAAAAAATTAAGAAATTTTTGAATTTGCGAGTGGAGACTTAATTATGTTTATTGTTAAATATTACTTTTAGCTCCCTGAGAAGGTGTATGTATTTTCCATTTGTTTTAGAGCAAAATTTGATGAATGGAGACTTGTGTAGAGTTTTGAAAATTTTGGAAAATTTAAAATTTTTTGATTTTGTAGCTTTCTTTAGTGTTTAATCAACAGAAAAATTGAAAATTATGATACATTATGCGTAAGTATAATCCTTACTTCGTAAATTTGTGAGTGGAGACTTATTTATTTTTATTAAAAAAATATTACTTTTAGTTGCCTAAAGTGATTTAACTAGTTTTCTTTTATTTAAGATCAAAATTGAAGGAGTGGAGACTTGTGTAGAGTTTTCAAAATTTTGCCATAATTGTTTAAACTACCTAAAAACTTAAAATTTATAATCATTTACTGATAAACTTAGCAAATTATATTCC